AGACATGGAGCCAGCTGAATGCAAATTTCTGAAGACATCAAAGGTGTGGAATGTTACTCCATCTCTGGGTGCTAAGGTGACTCACTGAATATATGTGTGCTCATGGCAATCAATCTCTAGGGATTTAATATCTAATGGTGAAGAACTTACACCAGAAAAGAGTTGCCCCAGCTACAAAAGGTCTAAGCCTTAGCTTTTGACTTCAGCTCCCCAAGCTAACAAAGCAATTAATCAATATCTACCTTTAAGCATTTATAAACCTGTGCCTCCCCACCCCCTGCCAAGAAACCTATTTCTTTAGGCTTAGAGCTGATGTTCTGAAATGGCTTTGTGGGATCAGAGGCTTACACAAAAGAAGAAAAAAGTTGATTTTCTTCATCCATTTGTGCTATTCATAAAAGTACATATAAGCTTCAGGAAGAGAACATTTTGTGGGATGCCACAATGTCACGTGCTCTGGCTGATAGTTACATGATCTAAAAATAAGTAATCTATATTCCTCTTAACCTCTGTGCCTCTTCACTGCCTCAGTGAACTGTGCCTTAGTACAAGATAGTAGCTGTTGGCGTTGATGAATGCTCTTGGGAAGACAAACTTATTAGAAAGAAGTCAGTAAATATGACAAAAAGATATAACACCATTTAAGGCATGCTTCTTCACCTAACAATTGACATAGTGACAGATGATATATAGGGAAATACAGGGGAAAAAATGTTAGGTACATTATTCTGGTTTTTCTATCACCACAAACTTCCTTACTTTCTAGTTGTTTACATGCTTTAAATGAATCAACACTATCATGTGTCTTCTAAACCAGTAAATGCAATATTAGGGTGCATCCAGAATGACAGTTTCCAAAATGCGCAAAATAATAGTTAATTATATATTCTGCGTTGGTACAATTCCACCTTGAATATTGTGTTGAGTTCTAAGGACCATGTTTTTAAAAAGATTTTTTAAAAAAAGGTTCACAGAAGGCTAATAAGGATAACTAGAGGCCTAGATACTAGGTCCTGTGGGGAAAAAAAGACAAAATTGTGCATATTTAGCCTTGAGATAAAACAAGGATGGGGGTTGCGTGTGATAGCACTTGAAGGTATATCCCACATTTCAAGCTCAAGACAATATGTAGAATAATACAGGACATGAAATAATGGCTCAAGTGGAAGAAGGCAGATTCCTGAACATGACAAAAAGCTTCCTTATAATAAAAGCAGTTTGACAGTGGAACCAATTATCCAGAGAGGTAATGGGCTCTCTTTCAGACCGAGCCATCAGTCCAGGATACTTTCAGTTCAATTCTTGCTCTGAACCAGAGGTTGGATTCAAAGGTCTGAAGGCCCCCATCCAAACCTCTATGTTTCCATGTTATGGCTTAGTGTGGCATGGGAACAAGGGTACAGTATCAGCCTGTGAGTTGCTAGTGCATCTTTACACAGATGTGTTTATCTTAACTCTGGATTTGATGGACAACTCTCCTGCTACACCAGGTTGCTAACTCAATAAGCATCCTGCTGTGGTCACTGGTAATATTCTCTTCTCAAAGTAGAGTCCCTTTTCAAAGGAGCTTCAGCGCTGCACTTCATCTGCCCAAACAAATTAAAGAAGCTGAGTCAATGGATATTTCTCGTACAATAACTCTCCTTGTTTCTTGGGGCTTTCCCCCCCATTCCTCCCCCCCCCCCCCCCAATTTGGCTTATCTTTATTGCTTTTAGCTACTTCCTAAAATCATAACAATTGAATTAAAGTTCTAAACATGTACTATAGTCTGTAGTCCTGCCCATCTGGTCTGCCTCCCATCACCTGATCCTCATGGGGATGAATTTCATTTACTTTACATTTTAATACAAGCTCAGTTCATTTACACATTCCAAAGTAATAATGTAAGATAATTATCCTCCAGTTTTCACACTAATTTTGTGATGCAGTTCTACAGTAAAAATCATCATACATAAATGTGTATGTTAAAAAAAAAATACAGGTGTGAATTATAGGGAATTGTGTACATTGGGGAAAGGCTTTGTAACAGAATGCATCGCAAATAAAATGTGCATCAATTTTCATGCAGAACGTTGGAAAAAACAACACTTTACTAACATATTTAGAAATAGAATGGAATTCCCTGATGCTTGAGAACATGTGATCATCACAGAAAGTAACAGACTTGTCTGTCCCTCTTGGAACCTGACCCAATCTGGGCATCATCCAGATGTGTTAGAGATCAACTGGGCATTGCTGAAAATTCTGGGAGTTAAAATGCTCACATCTGGAGGGCAAGTAGTCTGGAGAAAGGTGCTTCAAACATAATTTGTATGCGGAACAGCAAGTCTCAGAACAAAGTATCTGCATTTAATTAGGAGAGACAGAGAAAAAAAAAGTTTCTTCTGTATGCGTGTGATATCTGTATTTAAAAAAAGGTGTATTCTTGCAACCAGCAGTTTCTTCCAGTTGGGATCCTATGTTCAATATGAAAACGTTAAAGATAATTAGGGAGGAAATTCATCCCTAGTGAAATTTGTAACATCCTTGTAACATGTTAAATATTCCACCCACCCCCCAACGCCCATAGACACATCTAAAAATATGTTGCACAATATTATAAATGGCAATATATCATTATTTGTATGATTTATTATATTTTTTTCAAACCAGAAAGCCAAATAACCATTTCCTATCAGAAGAGTTCAATAGTTAATATATGGTGGGAATTTGCACTAAAATCTAGTTTACAATTTACGGTTTGACAGGTGAGGAAGTGGAATCAATCATACAGCAAATCTTCTTAAAGTGTGGTTACATTAGATATTGAATTTTTAATTAAATATAAAGGCTATTGTGTGCAAGTGTTTTTATTCAGATATACCAAAGGTCAAGATTCTCCTTTAGGAATGTGTATTCCAGTGGACGTACAAAGCTCCTATGCTCATCATGAATTTCCAGCTCTTTTTTTTTTTTAAATGGAAGAACTGAACTGAGGAAGCATTTTTACACAGAGTATATGAAGCTTACAGTAAGTTAGGCACTCTTAACAGTGTGTGCTGGAAAAGAAATGGGACCATACTGTGCATTTAGTGTTCACTATACTTTGCACTGTCTGAAGATTCATTGCAGATTCCTGACAACTCCAGACAAAGATATGGAATGCATGTAATGAAAGGGGTGTGTGTGTGTGTGTGTGTGTGTGTGTGTGTGTGTATTCCTGCTTTCCTGGTACATATACAGTAAGAAAACGTGCAAAAAGGCTTCCTTTGTGGCAGTCAAATAAAAAATATTCGATTGGGACATAGTCCTCTTTTTCCCGCCTAATCACTGAATTTTCTAATAGCACCGTATAATAATAGTTTAAAAAAGTAAAAATAGCCTTATGCCCCTTTTCTACTTAAAGGAAAAGAAGAGCAAGCTTGCAGAGGTTCTACACGAAAGAACAGAATCAATTCTGTTTAAGCAGAGGGCCTGTTTGTTCAGAGGAGCATCCATTCTCATATTTCCATTTTTCCATGTGGGCCTTGCACATTAAATTCTACAACAAAGGCAAGATTGTTACATAAAGTATACAATATTTTACTTCTTATTGCCTGAAAGATGAGACAAGGAAACATACGGATGCAACTGCACTAGACATAGCAGTACACGTTTTAAATATGTGATAAACAACAATAAAGAATGAAATCATCGCATCTTATGCCAATAGAGATAGATTAAGTAGGATTTTTTCCCCTGAAATTGACTAAGAGGGAACCCATTTTAACATTAGGCAGCAATACTATAACTTTGCAATACTTATAGTTATTTTTCCCCAAGTTTAACAGCCTTATATCATATTAAATGCTAGTATTTTTATATAAATATTTGAGAACTGGAATTCAATGTAAATTGTACCAATGCAGGTTCTCTTTAAAATATTAACTTCACCTTAAGTAATAAACATAACATGTCAGGTGGATATCCCATACCCTGCTCTATAGCCACCTAAGTCTAGTTTGCATTATCATTTTCCTCCCATACCTTTTCTTTTCTCTTCTTGGGTAGGATTGTAGGAGAAGAGAGTCTATGGTATTCCAAAAATCAGAAGGAATTTGGTAGTCTCTTCAGATGACAAGAGCAGCAGCTCACAAAAACTTATTTATTATTTATGAAATGGATTTAGATGGCTGGTCATCTCGTGAATCCAATTCTAGGTGGCTAACAACTCATTAAAACATAAAAAAAAAAACTACCATTAGCAAAGAATTTAAAAAAAAAAGATTATGGAAGATAAACTCAAACAAAAAAATCAACAGGCCATCTAACTTCCCAACCCCCAGACCCTGAAGCACATCAAGGTCTCCAGTGCTTTAAGAAGGACTGCAAGGTCAGGGTCAATCTGATCTCCAGGGGTATGCCTTGTTTGTAAGCTTGAAAAGGTGCTACCAGACTCCTTCTGATTTAGGGGTGGAAGATACTGTGAATTTCTCTTCTTAAAAGTTTAGCCTGTACATGGAAACTTTCTTTTCTATCTTATTCGGTATATGTGGAATGGGTGAGAAACTGCTCTTTCATCACGCCAAGAAGATCACCAGCTTTGAAATGAACCAACCTAGCCTAAGTTTGTAAAACAAACAACAACCAAACAACCCTGCATTAAGCTACTCTGATAGTGACAATGTCTTTCTACAAAATACTCTAAAAATAAATAACATTTTTCCCCCCCACTGTGAAGCACACAAAGCAATCCATTTTATCGAGAAATGCAGGGAGTATAAAGAACTTTACCATTGTCTATTTAAAGTGTATATGCATAACTGTTATTGCTCCTTTTTTCAGTATGAATAAGGAATGGGACGAATGGACCACAGATATTGTGAACATAAATAAATTAAGGGGATGAATCAGTTAAGGACAATGAAGCTACAAGCAAGGGAAGAGAATGAAAGGTTTATCTCAGTTACCACCATTCACACAGAGTGGTGGTGAATATCACTTTTTCCCCCTTTCTTTTAGCCAAAAAAAAAAAAAACATTATAGAATAGCTAAAGCACAATGTTCTAAAGTCTCTTTCTCTCTCTTTTTTTTCCTTTCCTTTGCATCCCTTTCAATTGTGAGTGTTCTTGCCCTGAATACCTTTCAGTAGGGCAGCTTGAACAGTTCAGGCCACTTCGAAAACCCCTCTGGAGATCAGACGATAAAATTCTTCAGCAATCAGGGAGGGAAGACAAAGGGCTTTCTCGTGCTATGCCCATATTTCCATGTTTGCTGGCTTAACATCATTCTGTACGACTTCAGTACTTAACAGTCGATGCGAAGACGTTCAGAGCTGGCAAACAGAGAAACAGCATGAGAAAAGCCCTTGCCTTAACCAACACATCTCCCCTCATTATTTTAAATACTAGTTTGTTGAATATCAGCTGCCGGGAGACCTGGCCCCACCATTAGGTAGAGTGAGCTGTCTGCCTCAGGCAATTGTCATGCAATGAGAGCAAATCATTCATTTCTTGATTTTTTTTATTGTCAGCGACTGGCTTGTGAACTCATATTCTGCCCGATGTGCTCAGTTTATTGGGCTGAAACAGGGCACTTTAGAGGTGAATCTGTGTAGCTCAGGGTTGAACTGTGGAGTCCTTGGGGTTCCCTGAGCGTGGTTCTTTTCTTGCAAACATTTCATTACCCAGCTAGGTAACGTCTTCAGTGCTAGAATGGCATGGGGTTTGCTCTAAACCCTAACCCTAACTCTAACCCTAACAGAGAGCAAACCCCATGCCATTCTAGCACTGAAGACGTTACCTAGCTGGGTAATGAAATGTTTGCAAGAAAAGAACCACGCTCAGGGAACCCCAAGGACTCCACAGTTCAACCCTGAGCTACACAGATT